ATCATCATCATCATCATCATCATCATCATCATCATCATCATCATCATCATCATTATCATCATCATCATCATTCCTTTCCTCCTGTGTTGTTTTCTCTTAAATGAGAACAAGAACTACCTTGTTGACACATTTTCCACGCAATTTACAAATATCCAACACTAAATTGAGGGTATGCATCTTCCCCACCACTTATCCTTCCAGATTTTCCTCAACCATGACCATTTCCTCATCTTCCACATTGTTTCAACCCAACCATTTCCTCATCTTCAACATTGTCTCAACCCTAACCATTTCCTCATCTTCCACATTTTCTCAACCCTAACCATTTCCTCGTCTTCCCCAAGCTTAATCCCTTCCTCATTATCCCCAATCCTAACCCTTCCCACATCTTTCCCACTCCTAACCCCTTTCCCCAATGTCCCAAACCCTAAACCTTCCTCATCTTCCTCACCTCCTACATTTCCCCCGACTCTAAACCCGTTCGTCATATTCCTCATCTCTCGATCTCCCCCAGTCCAAAACTCTCCCTCTTCCCTCAAAATATTCATCATCTTCCCCAATTCTAAACCCTTCCTCATCATCCTCAGCACCTGGATCATCCTCATCTTCCCCACCTTCCTCTACCCTAAACCCATCCCTTAACTCCTTCCACAAATCCCCCCCTCCACCCTAACCCCTCTCTCATCTTCTTCTACATCTTTCCCAAACCCTTCAACCCTTCCTCACCATCCTCATCTTCCTCATCTCCCCCCACCCGAAACCTTCGGTGTCGGTAGCCTAGTGGTTAGGCCACCGGACTCGTAATCGTGAGATTACGGGTTCGGGTGTTCAAGCCTCTGCTCGGCCCGACGTTGAGTTCTTGGGAAAGGCACTTTGCACGAATTTCCCACTTGGCTCGGTCCTTTCGGGAGACGTACGTTAAACTAGGAGGTCCCGCCTCTTAAATAACCTAATAGTGTTGATAGGAGCGTTAAACCTATACCGTTTCACCATTTTCACCCCGACCTTCCCCAGAGTGGTGCACGTGCGAGAGACCCGTGTGTCCGGCATCCTGTCTCACGTGCTGATCGGCCTGTCCATGCTGATGCTGCCCACCCCACTCACGTACATCCCGCGCGCAGTCCTGGACGGCCTGTTCCTCTATGTGGCCATCACGGCGCTCTACGGCAACCAGCTCTTTGACCGGGTCCTGCTACTCTTCACAGAACAGGTACCTTATTGTAGATCAAAGAGGTGATAGTAACCCC